TAATAATTTAAAAGATCTTAATTAAAAAACCAAAACAAAAAACCAACAAATAGTACTTTACAAGTGGATACATAGGTACATCTGCAAGATGCACAGGTGTGAGACGCCATGTGGACGTAAACCCAGAAGCATCTCTAAGGATAGATAAGTCTGCCAGACAGCCAACACGTACAGATGTGATGCAAACAGGTATCAGGTGCACACAATGCACAAGGTTATGCAAACTTTTTAGCCATAATCTTACACATTGAGGGACTGACTCAGTGCACTGAGGGTTTAGGATCATGGTCTCTGATGACATCAAGGCCACTTGGCGGAGCCTAGTGCATAAGAACAAAGTTCTCCCTCCTACTTTGGTGGGATCTCAAAAGCTTGTGAGCAGCTATTTAAGATACAATCATTGATGTTTTCCAGTCTGGCGCAAAGAACTCAAACCCACTGCTTATCGACTCGACTCCCACTCATACCAACCCTAAAGGACACAGCAGAATGACCCTGTAGAGTTTCCAAGGCTGTAAATCTTCACAAAAGCTGACTGTCCCCAGAGCAGCAGAAGAATTCGAACCGCTGACCTTCTGATTAGCAGCCACTAGGGTTCTTTGGAGCAAAGTAGAGTGAACAAACTCAAAGCCTTAAAGAAACATTTTTTTTTTTCAAGCAGACTGCACAAGTCACAGCCTCCATTAGCTTGAGACCAGAAGGATTGGATGGTGCCCGGCAATGAGTGTTGACCACCCTGGCTGGGACCACAGTGCAAGGAGCCAGAAAGAGTAAGGGGGGGAAGTGTGGGACAAAATTAAAACTCTTAGAAGAGGCTGATAGTCTGATTGGGACTATGGCCTCTGATGCCTTCAAACCTGCATGAACCCACTCCTGGAGGCCACCTTTCAGGCCAACAAGAGGCCCTCAAAGTGCACAGTCACCCCCATGGGGGCATATTTCTCACAGCAATCAACCATATGAGACTAGAAGTCCTTACTCAAAAACGTGGTTCAGGAGACAGGAAGGGACAGGAATGGCAGGTAAATGGAAACTAGAAGCCCAGGGAGGAAGGGTTACATTCAGGGGATTGTAACTAATGTGTCTTAAATTGTTGAATGAGAAATACATTTTCTGTATAAATTTTCACACAAGCTACAATAAAATAGTCAAAGAAATAAAGAGAGGTGTTTATAAAAAAAAGAGAGGTGTTTATTACTAAATATATGTATATACACAGAGAGGGAGTGAGAGAGAATAACCAGTGTCACCAAATGATTTGGGTGGAAATTATGGAATGATCAAGTGGGCAATATTTGTCCAGGGAAGAAAACTCAGAGGTCAGAGAAGATGAGTGGAAGAGAGAATCACAGGGAGGAAGTGGGTGAAGCATTGATACAATGCAGTAACTATAATTAATGTCAGAAATCAGAACAGGAAATCAATTATACTTTGTAAATGTTCACTCAAGCATGCAATAAAAAGTTAAAAGGGGAAATGAAAAAAAGTACTGAATGAGAATTTAAATCACTGCAGAAATCTTCACTCAAAACACAATTATTATTCCAGGAAGAAAAGACAAAGCAGGTAAGGAAACCACAGACGTAGAGCAAATAGAGCTGTGTGAAGATGGAGGTAAACACTGGAGTGATGCCGCCACAGCTATGGGATGTTTGGGGCCACCAGGAACTGGATGGGACCAGGAGGGATCCCTCTCTGGAGCCTTCAGAGAGGGCACAGCCTTGGCAGCACCTTGAACTTGAACTTCTAACCTCCACAGGCTGCCAAAAGAACACTCTCTCTAGGAAGAAGTGCTGTCAGGGTATTCTTTGGAGGCGAGGCTGGGGAAAGCTGCTCTCACATATTTTGAGCATGTTATCACAAGAGGCCAGTCCAAGAAGAAGAACACCATGCCCAGCAAAGCCAGAGAGAGAGAGGAGGACCCTCGACAAGATGGATTGTCACAGTGACAGTCACGGTGGGCTGGGGCACAGCCGGGCTGGTGAGGATGGCGCAGCACTGGGCAGGGCTCCATCGTTTACCGAGTCGCTGTGGGTCGGAGCCTCTGGAGCTGTGAGCCACACCTTGCAGTCTTTCTGAGGCACCCACTTGGTGGACGCTGCTTTCATGGGCCTGGGAAGCTAACACCACTCTCACCCTGCCGGGCTCCCGGGTTCCCTCTCTTGGCCCCTCACCTTTCTGCACCTTGTCGCACAGCAGGTACAGCTCCTCGCCGCCCGTGCAGGGCCCACTCTCCTTGTTGATCCGGCAGATCCGCAGCTCTGACGTGTTCGTGGACTCTGGAGGGGGAGGAGGGGAGAGGCAGGTGAGAAGCTGAGGGCTTAGTGCAGGCAGCAGAAAACCGCGCCCCCTGCCCCCAGGCTGAGAGGAGGAGGGCAAAGGAGAAGCAGGGCCGGATTCTCTTAGAGCCCACAGTTGTTGTTGTTGTTGTCGTCGTTATTTGCCGTCGAGTCGCTTGCGACTCATAGCGACCCTATGTACAACAGCCCTAAACCCTGCTCTATCCTATGCCAATCGCACTGTCTCTGATACACCCATCCCAATTATCCCAGTCACTGAATCAATCCACCTCATAGAGGGCCTTCCCCTCCTGCGCTGTCCCTCCACCCTCCCAAGCATGATGTCCTTCTCCAAGGACCTGTCTCTCCTCACAACATGTCCAAAGTATGTTAGACGGAGCCTCAGAATCCTTGCCTCCGTGCAGGTGGCTAATTGCAGAAAAGTTCATGGTTCAAATTCACCCACAAGCACCTAGGAAGAAAGGCCTGGAAATCTGCTTTTGCAAGCTCACAGTCTTGAAAATCATAACAGAGACCCTTAACCTTGGGGCGAGCTGGCAGAATCAGGAGTCAGAGAAGTTTCCTGGAGAAAGGTCAGTGTCCTCAAGTGGATAGTGGACAACTGCTCTATTATCTGTCCATTTATGGGTTTGTCTCCATAAGAAAAAGATACCTAGTAACTATAGCAGCAAAGACCAAATGCTGGTGAGGTTGTAGAGAGACTGGAATTCTTCCTCACTGCTGGTGGGAATGTAAAATGGTACAGCCACTGTGGAAGGCAGTCTGGCGCTTTCTCAAAAAGTTGGAAACAGAAATACCATTTGACCCAGCAACTCCACTGCTGGGAATAGACCCTAAAGAAACCAGAGCTGCCACCCAAACAGATGTATGCACACTCATGTTTAATCCTGTGTTATTAACAATAGCAAAGAGATAAAGTAATCCAACTGCCCATCAACAAACAAATGGATAGAAAAACTATGGTACATTCACACAGTGAAATATTACACAGCACTGAAAAACAATGAACTCTTAAAACATCACACAGCATTGGGGAGGTTGGAGGACACTATGCTGAGTGAAATATCTTAGTCACAAAAGGAAAAACACTGCATGACAGCACTGTTATAAAACAAAACAGACATGGGGAGAGGTTGGGGAAGAGAATCGGAAAAGAGTGGATAGATAATGAACACTGCGTTAGATCAGATGAGGGGAAGAACTGTCTGAAAAGAATAGAAGATTGGCATATATTGATATATACATGACAACAATCTGAAACAAGGGGTGAATTGTGGGGTGGGAGGAGAGGAAGACAATGTGCAACAATGAGAAATATTTTAAAAAAGAGGGAGTGGGTATTTCTATGGCCTTGTTCCTAGTGGTGCCTGGTACAGTGTCACAGGTTGTGCACTGTAAAATAGTAAGATGTGCCACTCACATGGCCTTCCCAGTGCCATCAAGCCTGTTCTCACTCCTGGTGACTGTGTAAGACAGAGCAGAATGCTTCCATAGGGTTTCCAAGGCCGTAAAGCTTGGCAGAACACACTGCCCCATCATTCTCTGATGGATTGGCTGGTGAAACAGAACTACTAACTTTTTATTTAGTTGGCAGGTAAGTGCTTTAACCACAGCACTGCCAGAGCTTCCCATGTATATAAGCTACCCAGGAATATGGCATCAGGATTGGAGGAAGACTCATCAACAACCTTTGTTACGCAGATGACTCAACCTTGCTTGCTGAAACTGAAGAGGACCTGAAGCGCTCGCTGCGGAAGGTCAAGGACTGTAGTCTTCAATACAGATTAAAGCTCAACATCAGGAAAACAAAGATTCTCACCACTGGGCCAACTGGCAGCACCATGATAGAGAGGAGTTAGAGGTTGTTAGCAATTACAGCTTTACAGCTTTTTATAGCAATTACACAATCAACACTCCTGACACCAGCAGTCAGGAAATCAAAAGATGAATTGCACTGGGAAAATCTGCTGTCCGGGACCTCTCCAGAGTGCTGAAGAGCAACAATGTCAGTCTAGAGACTAAGGTGTGCCTATTTCAGGTCATGGTCTTCGCAATTACTTGTTATGTATCAGAGAGCTGAATAATGATTAAGGAGGTTAGAAGAATTATTGATGCCTTCGAGTTGTGGTGCTGGAGAGAGTCTTGAACACACTGTGGACCACTAAGAAAACAATTAAGTTTGTCTTGGAGAGGGTGAAACCAAGTCTCTCCTTGGAGTCTAGGATTTTGAAGCTCCGTCTGACATACTTTGGACATGTGGCCAGGGGGACTGGTCCTTGGAGAAGGACATCATGCTTGGAAGGGTGGAGCGACAGTGCAGGAGAGGAAGATCCCGTATGAGATGGATTGATATAGTGACTGGGGCAATGCGGGTAGGTGTGTTGTAGTCAGTGAGGCTGGCTCAGCATAGATCAGGCTTCAAAGCTGCTGCACAACAGGGTCGCTATGTGTTGCAGGTGACTCAACGGCACATAACAGTAGCTACAATAGGAAATTGCACCGCAGACCACAGGGAGTTGCTGGTAACCCAAAGGCAGCCCCTCTCAGGTGGTTCAGACCTACTAACAGCTCTGAGGGAGAAAGATGGGAAATCTCCTTCAGTGTAGTTTACAGCTTTGGAAACATAACAGGGTGGCAGCTGTGAGTCAGCTCCATACAACTCTGCAGCAATGAGGCGTGAGTGAGTGAGGGCGTAAAGGCTGGTCCTGGGACGGAGCAGTGCACAACATACACAACTGCACTGCTTAGTCCACTCAACCCATCTGCACAGCACCGGCTGCTGCCAAGTCTCCTCTGATCCTGACACCACGTTCTTCTTCAGAGTCCAGCTTCTCAAATCATTTGCTCAGCATTCGGATTGAACAGGTATGGAGGAAGGCTACAACTTTCTTCATTTTAAAGCATGTTGTGTTCCTTTGCTCTGTTCACACAACAGCCTCTTGGTTTAGGTATAGAGGCTTTGCATGAGCACAATTTGTGTCCTGGGATTCTCATTCTTCTCTGTGTGAGCCATAATTCACTATGATTCACACAGTCACGTGCCTTCGCACAGTCAATGAAACACAAGCAGACGCCCTTCTGGTGTTCTCTGCTTTTGGCCAGGATCCATCTGACATCAGCAATGATATCCTGGTGCCACAGCGTCCTCTAACCCAGCTTGAACTTCTAGCTTTCCTCTACTCAATCTATGTACTATTGTAGCTGTTTTTGAAGGATCTTCAGCAACGTTTTGCTGGTATGTGATATTAATGATTGTTGTTGTTGTTATTATGTGCTATTGAGTCACCTGCGACTCATAGCGACCCTAGGTACAACAGCTGTAACCCTGCTCTATCCTGTGCCAATCTTATTGTCTCTAACACACCTACCCCCATCACTCTAGTCACTGAATCAATCCATCTTATTCGAGGGTCTTTCTCTCCTGCTCTGTCCTTCCACCCTCCCAAGCATGCCCTCTCCAAGGACTGGTCCCTCCTTGTAACATGTCCAAAGTATGTCAGATAAAGCTTCAGAATCCTTACCTCCAAGGCACAGCCTGGTTTAACCCTCTCCAGGATGAACCTGTTTATTCTCCTAGCAGTCCATGGTATATTCAATACTCTTATCCAGAGCCACAGCTCAAAGGCATCCATTCTCCTTCTATAATTGACCATTCACCCTAGTCATTGTCCAGCTCTCTGATGCATAGCAAGTGACTGCAAAGACCATTGCTTGCATCAGGCACACCTTAGTCTCCAGGCTGACATCGTTGCTATTCAGTACTTTGGAGAGCTCTCTGACAGCAGACTTTTGCAATGCCATATGTCTTTTAATTTCCTGACTGTGAATGCCAAGAGGGTTGATTGTGGAGCCAAGCAAACTAAAGCTTAATTGATATATTAAAAATATAATTGATATATTTCAACAAACAGATATCAATGATATTGTTTAATGATTTCCACATTCTACTGGATCACCTTTCTTGGGAGTGGAAACAAATATGGGTCTCGTTCAGTTAGCTGGCCAGGTAACTGTCTTCCAAATTTCCTGGCATAGATGGATGGTGAGCACATCCAGGGTTGCATCTGTTAGGTGAAACATGTCAGTTAGTAACCCATTGATCCCTGGGGCCTTATTTGTTGCCAATGCTTTTAGTGCAGCTTCAACTTCTTCCTTCATTACCATTGGCTCTTGATCCTATGGTATGTCCTAAAATATTTCAACAACCTGTGTTATGCAGATGACACAACCTTGCTTGCTGAAATGGAGGGGGACTTGAAATGTCTTCGCTGCAGAAGATCAAAGAAGACAGCCTTCAATATAGATTACATCTCAACATCAAGAAAACAAAAAAATGGGCTTTGGCTTGTTCGACTGAGTCCCCTCCTTGCAAATAAAGCCTTTTCCTGTAAAAAAAAAAAAAAAAAAAAAAAAAGAAAACAAAAAAAATGTTCACTGGGTCAACAGGCAACATGATGACAGATGAAGAAAAGCCTGACATTATCAACAACTTCATCTTACTTTGATCCACAATCAACACCCTTGGAACTAAAAGCCAGGAGATGTATTACACTGGGAAAGTCTGTAGCCAGGGACCTCATCAAACTAGTGAAGAGCAATATTAGTTTGAAGGCCAGTAAGAGCCTGAATCATGGGGGTTTTGATCACTTGTGATGCATCTGAGAGCTGGACAATGAAAAAGGATGACAGAAGAACTGATGCCCTTGAGGCACAGTGTTGGAGAAGAGTATTGAATATCCCACGGATTGCCAAAAGAACAAACATGTGTCTTGGAGAAATGAACAAACATATGTCTTACGGCCAGAGTGCGCTCCTTGGAGGCAAAGATGACAAAGCTTCATTTCCCATACTTAGGGCATGTTGTTAGAAGGGGCTGTTCCTTGGAGAGGAACAACATGCTTAGAAAGGTAGAGGGTCGGTGAAAGATATAAAGACCCTCAACCAGATGGACTGACATAGTGATTGCAACCATAGGCTTAACTGTGTCAGAGATGATGAGGATGGCACAGGACAGGACAGGTTCAGATGTGTTATTCATAAGGTCGCTATGAGTCGTAATTGACTTGGTGATACCTAATAACAACTCAACTCACGTCTTGAACACAGATGTGATGTCCGGAGCAGTGGCAGCCACCTCACAAGTGGGAGGGAAAGGCCACAGAAGCACACAGCAACTGATACCCTTGAGTAGCTGAATCACTCCTAGCATCGAGATAAAAATAACTGACTCTAGACCCATTTACGTCCCTTGTATCCACCGTGAGGACCCATCCGAAAGGGCACAGCACCCTTAACTCACTCTTGTCATAGACAGGCTCGGAGAGCACAGGGTCCATCCGGCGCATTTGGCCCTGCTGGTCTCGATACGAGGCCTGGAAGCAGATCCTGACAACGTTCATGTCCACCTCCTGGTGGTTCTTTAATGACCCAGCTGTGGGTGAGACGGGTGGAGGCCGAGTGAGCGGGGGCCACGCTGGGGTGGAGGCTGAGAGGTGGGGCCACGCTGGGGTGGGGGCAGAGTGGGCGGGGCCATGTGGGGTGGAGACCGAGGGGCGGGGCCACACTGGGGTGGAGGTTGAGAGGCGGGCCCACACTGGGGTTGGGGCTGAGGAGCGGGGTTTGGCGGGCACGGGGACAGGTCACGTGGGGCTCACCATTGTAAGGGTCGATGCCCAGCTGGATCTTGCGCTCGATGGCGGCCTCGATCTCCTTCTTCCTCACACACTGGATGCCCAGGTTGTTGAAGCTGAGGAGTGGGAGGGTTCAGGGTGGCGGGGACAGACAAGAACACTGTGAGGGACAAATGGACCACTGACCAGCAGGAGGACTCCAGCCACAAATGCCTGAGGATTCACAGGCTTAGAGACAACCCCAGGTCTGGGAAGGTCGAACCCCTCAAGTGCATCAAGTATTCCTTTCTCAAACTGAAAATTTGTATGACAGACGGATTTGGGAAGCTCATATGCTCTGTCTCCTCCATTCATGCATATGAAAGAAAACTACTTTTTCTATTAAAAAAACCCGTAAATTACAAAAATAGGAGATCTGGTGGTGCAGTGGGTTATGCATTAGGCTGCTAACCAGAGGTCGGAGGTTCAAACCGACCAGCTGCTCGCAGCGAGGATGCCCAGCCTCGGAGAGCCGAGAGGGTCACTGGGAGTTGGAGCTGCTGCCTGTGGGTTTGTTGAAATATGATCCTCTCATGATGATGGGGAGCTCTGGTGGCCCAGTGGTAAGGAGCTGCACTGCCAACCCAAAGGTACACAGTTCAAATCTGCCCGAAACAGATGGGGAATCTCCTCCCCTGCGATTTACAGCCTTAGTAACACTGGGGAAGGCGAGCTATGGGTTAGTTCTGACTTGGTACACAACATGAAGGTAAACTGGGGTAACATAAGGAAGCCCTGGGAGCATGGGGGGAAGAGTTTTGCTGCTAGCTGAAAGATGGGAAGGTCGAGGGTTTGGATCCACTGGGTGCTCTGTGGGAGAAGGAAGAGGCGGTCTGCTCCTGTAAGAATTCCAGCCTTGGAAACAGTCTTCCTGCCTGTGGGCAGTTCTGCTGCACTGAGTAGGGTCACTGGGAGGCTGAAGCTACCTGCCAACAGTGGCTTTGCTTATTTCACTTTTTTATGCTAAGAAATGCATTTGCTTCGGTCTCCTATTTATAGTCCAAATGTCAGGAAGGTATTTTTATAAGATCATCTTGTTACATAATTGACACGACATGAAGTCGCTCCCTTGGAAAAATTTAACAGGAAAAACAGAGCATGTGGTTTTGGGTTGTTAAGTGATACCAAACCAGAACCAGCCCAAAGCCATTGAATCTGACTCCCAGTGACCTTTCCAGTGCCTGGGGAGTTAGAACTGCCAACCTTTCAGTTAGCAGCTACACACACAATGCACGGCACCACTGGGGCTCCTTTAAATGACCCCCCTCAACTCAGCTCACTTCACTGGTATCAAGTGAGAGCAGACTCAGAGCAGACCCTCTGGCAGGTTTTCAGAAGCTGTAAATCACACGGGAGGAGACCACCCACCTCTCTCCTTTGGTGCAGCTGGTGCATTTGAACCACTTGCCTTTGAGTTGACAGCGCAACTCTTTCTCCATTAGGCCACCAGAATTAGCTTAAGTGATACCAGTTTATCTTAGTTAGAAGATTGCCTTGCAACAGGCACACGCTGAGAAAGGCTTTTGAAGCTGCTCCTTTTGAGAATGGCTCTAAGCTTCTCTCAGCCTCCATTTCCTCCTCTGAGAAATGGGCACACATATGTGCGTGTGGTGGGGTTCTGGGTATGGAACAACTTGGATCCCAAGATCTCCCGCCCCCTCCCAGGCCTCAGTTTCCCCAGCTAGGAAGTGCAGTGGCCCGTTCCAACCCCTCCCTGAGGTTTGCCCTGGTGAGCCCCAGTGTCTTATGATGCCCAGGACCAGAGGTGGGGGACCAGGGGCCGGGGTCAGGCTGGTACCTGTGTCGGGGGCTGACATGAGGCCGGAGCCGCACCCTGCAGACGCCATCGGTGCAGTCTTTCCCCACAAGGCTGTGCGGGTGGACTCGGTGGGGCCAGTCCTTCCACACCAGGCACGCGGTCACCTCCACCTCCCGCAGCCCACTGCAATCCCGGAGCTGCAGGGAGACGGTGCCATCTGGGGGTGGAGGGGTCCTAGGTGGACGCCTGCACCCTCCTCTCCCCTATCCTCCACCAGAACATGACAGTGGAGTCACTGCAAGCATCATTACATAAGAGATGGAGCTCTGGTGACATACTGTGCTGTGTGCCACTTGTCTTACCAAAAGGTCAGGGGTTCGAGTCCCACCAGCTGCTCTGTGATCCCTCACAGATAAGGCAGGCAGTCTCCTCGCTTGAAGGCTTACAGCCTCGGAGACCCAATGGAGGGTCAGTCGCTAGGAGTCAGACTCGACTCAACAGCAGGACATTTGAGTAACTCAAGTGAGTCATGAGTGAGGGTCAATTCCGTGGCAGTGGGTTTGGGGGGGTAAGACCTTAAATGGGGGAAGCTGGGGTTCAGGGGCAGAATCCTTGCCTTCCAAGCAGGGATCAAAGTTGTTAAGAATTTTGTTTTACTTGGATCTATAATCTATACCTGTGGTAGCAGCAGTCAAGAAACCTAAAGACATATTGCTTTGGGTGGATCTGCCATCAGGGACACCTTTAGCGTGCAAAAGGGCAGGGATGCCTGTTTAAATACTAAGGTGAGCCTGGTCCAAGCCACAATAGTCTCAATAGTGAAGGCTGGCCAGTGACTAAAGAAGACCGAAGAAGAATCAATGCCCTTGAACATGGTGTTGGTGAAGACTGTTGAATGTCCACTGGGCTGCTAAGAGCTCTGGTAGCTTAGTGGTAAGGAGTTGCCCTGCCATCCTGAAGGCAGTGTTCGAATCCACCCGCTGCTCCATGGAAGAAAGATTAATAATCTCCTCCCGTACAATTTATTGCCTCTGAAAACTCACTGAAGGATCAGCTATGCGTCGGTTCTGTCTCAGTAACAACAACATGGACTGTCTTGGAGAATGTGCAACCCCTTAGAGGCAAAGATGGGGAAACTTCATCTCGCACACTCTGGGCGTGCTGTTAGGGAGGGGTTGATCTTTAGAAAAAGACATCCAGGCTGGAAAAGTCAAGGAAAGAGAGGATGGGATTACACAGTGACTCAAAGACGGGCTTGGGCAGATCAGAGACGGTGAGGATGATGTAGATGCGCATAGGGTCGCTAGATGGCGCTCACCAACGGCATGGAGGAGATCCAAGTTCGAGTCCCGGTCAACACACCTCCTGCACAGCTTCCGCCTGTCTGTCCATGGCGCTTGTGTGTTTATGCGATACTTGAGCAGAACTTCAAGACTGAGATGAACTTGGAAGAAAGCCTGGCAATCTAGTCTATGATACTGTGCGCCACATGATCTCCTCCCCAGCCAGGATGGGACAGCTTCGTGCCCAGGGACCCTGCTTTGCAGTTCGGGTGACAGTGGAGACCCCGCGTGTCACTGAGTGCAACCAGGCTTTCGGGATCGTTAGTTAGCAGATCCTGTTTCTTCTGAAACAGAAGTGGGTGGGTTTGAACTGCTAACCTTGTGGTTGCCAGGTGAGTGCAAAGTACTGGTCCCATCTTTGTGTTTTATTCCACTGTGCGTGGGGGATATCATGAGCCGGGACGACAAATTTCAGCCACACAGCAGGATCCTGAGCCTCTGGGAGACGTCAGGGTCCACTGGCCCAAGACAGACGGTCCACATCCTACATGGTGAGTAGTGACTGGGGTCTGAAACGCTGTGAGCAGCCATCTCTGGTGCAGCTACGGGTCCCTCCCACCCAAAGCAAACGAGAAGAAATCAAAGCAAAATTTTATCGACACAATTAGGCCAAAGGTCCAATGGACCACAATAAAACCTCAACTTCCATGACCCGGAGGCCAGAAGAAGTAGATGGTGTCCAGCTGACCACTCACCAAGGGGTCACGGTAGATCCTGGACAGAGTTGGATAAAATATGGAACAAAACTCAAAAGCATAAAAAGGATCAGGTTTACTGGTCTGACAGAGACTGATGGAACCCTCAAGACTGTGGCCTTTAGTCACTCTTTGAACTTTGAAATAATTCACCCCTGCCATTTAACTTTTAGCCAAACAATTGACAGACCTACAGCATGACCATTTCTCAGACCAACCAACCACATAAGGGCCAAAAGAGCAGCATTTGCCCAACAATAAAACCCTTGAGATGTGAAAGAATAGAGTAGCAGGATTAGTGGACATGAGAATCACAGGGAGGGAGCAGGAAGAGTACAGTTACATTGTGAGTACTGCAATTAATGTCAGAAAACAAAAATGTGCATGGATGGTTGAATGGGACCCCAATTTGCATTGCTACCCTTTTACTCAAATCAAAACGGATAAAAAGAAAATATTCAGACTCTCCTCCTAAGGCTTCTTGCTGGTGCCTGCAGCCATGTTTGCTATAGAGACCCTTTCTTATAGAAACCCTTTCTTTGGCCACTGGACCCGTAAGTAGGGCCCTACAGATAGTTCACTAATTACAAGGAGAGGAGGACCCTTCACAGGGAACACATGTGGTGGGCACCATCTGAACCAAATGATCAAACTCAAACCCAGAAACATCCCTTTGTCAATGAATTCATTTCGACGCACAGCAACCCCGTGGGGCTGAGCAGAATTGCCCTGTAGAGTTTCCAAAGCTGTAACCTCCACGGCAGCAAACCGCTTCCTCTTTCTCCTGCTAATCGGCTGGTGGGACCCAACTGCCTCCTTTTTAACCTTGTTGTTGTGTACCGTCGAGTCAGAACCAACTCACAGCTGACCCTCCAGCAGTCTTTCAGAGGCAGTTAATCACTCGAGAGGAGACTGCCCGTCCTTCTCCTGCAGAGCAGCTGGTGGCCTCGAACCGTGGGCCTGTGGGATTGCGGGGCAGCTTCTTGCCACTAGGCCACCAGAGCTCGATATTGTCTTTACGTGCCAGTAAGCCCACTATGACTCATAATAGCAAGCCTATGAACAACAGATCTGAGCCCTGTCCGATCCGGTTCTCTCCTCACCATCTCTGACAGGCTCGAGTTCTCTATTACAATCACTGTGTCAGCCCGTCTCGTTGGAAGTCTTTCTCTCTTCCTCTGACCCTCTACCAGGCCCTGGATGATGCACTTTTCCAAGAACTGGCCCTTCTGACAGCACACCCCAAGTATGTAAGGCCAAGTTTACCACCTTCCCAGCCTCGAAGGCTACTATTCCTCCAAGACAGACTTGTTTGTTGTTTGGCAGTCAATATTCAGTAAGTACTCTTCTCCAAGCCCACAATTCAAAGGCGTCTTCTTATGGGATCGTTAGTCACTGCTCACAGAATTAATATTTTTTTAATTGGGAAAAAACATATTGGGGGTACAAGGAGGTGAGGGTTGGGGGCATAAGGGTGAGGATGGGCAGGGATGCAGTTGCAGAGCTGCAGAAATTGGTTGGTGGGGGGAGCAGGTGAAGGAAATGAAAAGGATCCAGTGGGGACCAGATGCTACAGGAAAATGACAAGCATTTTCCAATGGTAATTAAATTAACTGTCTTATTGATTTGGGAACTGGATGCCAGAATTAATATTTTTAAAAAGCCCAGATTTACTGGACCTGTTGAAGCTAGAGGACTCCTGCCATGGGCTACTGCCCTGAGATATTCCATAAAGCTACCCTGAGGTCTCCTCTAAGCCAAATAACAGACTAAATCATAAAAGGAAAGAATACTAGTTTCCCAAACTATCAATCTTTTTTTTTTACCATTGGAAAAATTGTTTTATTCCGTGAAAATATTTTCAGCCAAGAACACTATCTTAAATAAAGCATTTAACATTAAGAAATCACGAACTAAAAAATAAATCACAAACTATCAATCTTTTAAGTGATTTTTTCCCCTCCTGAGGAGCCACTGATAAATTTGAACTGCTGACCTTTTGCCAGACACACCTGCGCTCTACCACTTGGCTCGTCTGCTTAGCCACTAAACACTTAATCACCCTTAATCACCGCGCCACAGGCACTATGAGGAAATGCCTTTAAAAACCCAAGTCGCCGATGAGTCAAAGCGGGTGTGTGCTGCCCTCTCGTGGCCACGTGGAATATTGGGTTGATTTTGGGTGTCACTAAGTGCTTTGCTTGTATAGACAGAGCCTGTTCTAAAGCTAACAAGAAGGTTGGATGATCAATTCCACCCATTGGCACGGTAGAAGCAAAGGCCTGCGGACCATGCTAATGTTGAAATTGTTGTTGGTGCTGGGTGTCTCTGAGCTTATTTCTACTCAGCCATCCTATGTGGCCGAACAGAACTACACCACAGGGTTTTCTTGACTGTAACCTTTACAGAAGCTGATTACCTTAAATCTATTGAATGTTTAGGGAATGTCTACAAAGGAAATTGATTATGCATGCAACTATTCATGCACATTTTTGTTTTATAGCAAGTACGCTACCCACCATGTAACCGCACCCTTCCTATTTTCCCTGTGATTCTCATTTCCACTAATCCTTCCAGCCACGCCTTTCTTCTGAAGAGCCACAGGATGGGCTTGAACTGCCAACCTTTCATTTAACTCTTGCACCACCGGAGCTCCCTCCATTAAGATGACCATCAGGTAATCTTGTGGAGAAGTTCACAAAGACATGATTCTATGCCCTATGAGTAGAGGTGTGAGTCTTAAAAGCTTGCAAGCAGCCATCTAAGTAAGGTACAACTATTGTTCCCTGCTTGTCCAGGATAAAGAGGGGGGAAAGCAAAGGTGCACGGAAACAACTGAAGGTCTAATAGAGCAAATGAACCTCAACTTCCACAACACTGAGGCCAGAGGACCTCGAGAGTGTCTGGCTGCCATCGCTGACCACTCTCCACAGGATCACATTAGAAGGTCCTGATAGAACGGAGTCTGGTATGGAACAAAACTTAAAAAGAAAAACATACCAAAGCCAGGCTTACTGGTCCAATGTTGTTGGTATGTGCTGTCGAGTCACCTGTGACTCACAGCGACCCTATGTACAGCAGCCCTAAATCCTGCTCTACCCTGTGCCAATCTGACACACCTATCCCTGTTACCCCAGTCACTAGATCAATCCATCTCAT